CGCAGCCGGGCGGCCTCGCAGCCGGGCAGCGGATCTGGACGTCGCCGCAACGGGCTCCGGCCTCTGCCACAGCCCGGAAGCAGCAGTCGCTGGGAAAAGCAGGCCAGCAAAAAAGACCTCCGACGAGGAGCTGAGTGGAGAACATCTCAGCCGTGAAGCGGACCCCGAAAGAAGAGTCACAGGGACTCTTTCCTCCTTCCTCAGGAGAAACGTAACGAGCAAAACAAGGCTCCGGTGGAGCCGCGGCGGCCGGAGAAGAGCGCAGAGAGGCGGAGAGCTGGGCGGCAAGGTCAGCCGGGGGCGGGGGCAGCCTCAGGGCGCGACGCCCCATCAGCGGTGCCCGCCTGTGCCAGAGCAGGAGGGGAAGGCGCAGACGTTGTTTGAAGACATAACGGCTGAAAACGCCCCAAGTGTGGAGCGTGGAGGAAAACAGACGACAAATTCAAGGAGCCGAGCACAGCCCCGAGAGCATGAAGCCCGGGGAGCCACGCAGGCAGGCCACCACTAAACCGCTGAAAAGAGAAGCAGGCTCAGGCAGCAGGCGGGAGCAGTGGGTTTCCCCACAGCAGCCCCCGAGGGCGAATGTCCCTGGGGCGCCGAGGCGAGCAGCCTTCGGGACAGCAGCCAGCCGCCTGAAGAGTCTCCTGGCCAGCAGACCTGGGCTGCCGCTGCACTGAAGGCAGCTTTTCAGATGCGCGGGGGACTGGACCCCGGCGGGCGGGGGGCGGGGGGAGGCGCTGCAGCCGGCTCAGAGACCAGGCGTCCGGGTCCTTTGGCACGTTTGAAAAAGCCACGCACACGGGCGGAAGCCCACGACGAGGGGGGCGGGGGGCCGGCGGGCACCTGCCCTCTGTGTGCGAGGGGGAAGAGGGATTCCGACAGCCGGAGAGCCAAGTCTATGCGCTGTCACTGCTAGCCTGGCCGAAAACTAAGGACCCGTGCAGAGCGCAGTAAAAGCGCAGGAGAATGAAAACGGAAACCCCCAAGCTGGCCGCGTGCTGACAAACGGTCACTCCAGCTGCAGACCTTTGCTCGTGGAAGGCGGCTGGAGCCAGCCAGACCGGGAGGCGCTCGCAAGTCACACAGAGGCCCTGGTTTCCCCCTCTGAGACGCAGGACCGTGCAGGGACGGGGCTGTGCCCACCTGGCACGCCCACCCCGTGCCCGCCAGCCCCGAGGCCCCAGCTCCCCGCCCCTCCGGGCCCGGAGGCTGACCAGGGCCGCCCACCCGGCACGCTATCCTCTGGCTGCCCGGGGCCTGGCCGAGGGGCACCGTCAGGGTGCCCCAACTCCCCGCACCCCACCCGTGCGGGGTGTCCGGCTCCCTCCGCTCGGATGCTGGGCCATCCTTCCTGTGGCCTGGGCGGCCGCTGCCTGGGGGCCCTCCTCTTCCCACCACACATGACCTCGCCCTCTGCGGCTGCTCTGCAGACCCGCCCGCCGGGGCCCAGGCCCTTACCCGCTGGACGCAGTCCTCTTGCGCCAGGCGTCTCCGGAGCAGCTTGATCAGCAGCAGGTTGGGCACCTGCCAAGGGACGTGGCGCAGTGAGGCCGCGGGCGGGCGGCGCTCCAGGGCCCCCTCGCCTCGGGC